AATTAATCTTCCTAAAGTAAACTGATTATATTACTCATCTGCTCAGAAAATAGCAATGCCTGCCTGTTTCCTAATAAATAGAATCCAAATATCTAAGTGGGGCATTCAATTTCCTCCACAATATGGTCCTAATCTACCTTTCCAGCCTTAACTTTCACTACCATCTATACATAGCTAAACTCAAGCCAACCCCGACCACTTCCTTTGTCTTAAAGACATCTGCTACTTTACAAAGTCATTTTTTGGTATAACCTGCTCCACCACACACACCCATTGCTGTCACCTGTCAAAGTCCTACACATCCTTCAAGGTCCATCTCTAATCTTATTTTCTTCATTTAATCATCTCTGATCAGTCCAGCCAATATTAATCTATTGTTTCTTTAAACCATTTTTTTTAAAGCAAAAAATTATTTTTCCTCATATGGCAAACATTACACATGTTCATTGTAAAAAATATAATACAGAAATCATAAAGAAGAAAATAAAAACCCTCCATAAGCCCTCCATACTGTTATCATATTGCTATATATCCTCCCAACCCTTTCTCCAGACATCAACACATTTACACACACACACACACACATACAAACACACAAACTCACACACACACACAATATGTAGATAATACTATTCATACTGTTTAGCAGCCTGATGCTTTTCTTTTGATACATTGTAAATATTTTCTATGCCATTACATAGTCTTCTCCAACATGATTTACTGCCCATGCAATCTTGTATTATTTATAATATTACCAGTTATTTAATTAACCTCTTTTTGATGAATATTTAGATTGATCATAACTTTCTACTAGTTTTAAAAAAAATTTTAATTGTTAGTTTCAGGTCTACAGAACAATGCAATAGTTATCTTTTTCACCCTCACAAAGTAACAACCCCCCTCTCCCCATCTATTGCCCTCCCCCACGATATCATGCTTATCTATTACAATTCCATTGACTCCATTCCCACTCTCTACTCCATGTCCCGTGACTATATGAAAATATAATTATAGTTGACATACTATATTATTCAACATTAGCTTCAGAAATACAGTGCGGTGGTCAGGCCTCTACACCGACTATGAAGTGGTCTCCCCAACAGGACATGAGTCCATCTGGCCCCCTAAGAAATATTTACAGCATTATTGATTATATTCCTCAGACTGTCTTTTTCTATCCCTGAGGCCATATTGGAATTACCAGATTGTATTGTCTCATCCTTTCCCCTTCTCCTTCATCCCCACCCCCTCCCAACTAACAACCCTCAGTTCTTCCTCCATGTCTCTGAGACTATCTCCATCCACTTCTCCCATCCATTCAGTTCCTTAGAATCCACGTATAAGTGAGATCATATGATATTTGTCTTTCTCTGACTGACTTATTTCACTTAGCATAATGTTCTCTAGTTCCATCCATATTGTTGCAAATGGTATTATTTCCTTCTTCTTTATAGCTGAGTAATACTCCATTGTGTAAATGTACCAAAGTTTCTTAATCCAGTCATCTACTGATAGGCATTTTTGTTATTTCCAAATGTTAGCTATTGTGAATAACGCCGAAATGAACATAGGGGTACATATATGTTTTCGGATTAATGTCTTGGGATTTTTTGGATAAATACCTAAGAGTGGGATTGCTGGGTCATAAGGTAGTTCCATTTTCAGATTTTTGAGGTACCTTCATACTGATTTCCATAACGGCTGCGCCAGTCTGCAGTCCCACCAGCAGTGCACCAGGTTTCCCTTTTCCCCACAGCCTTGCCAATATTTGTTTTTTGTTGATTTATTGATGATAGCCATTCTGACCGGGGTGAGGTGTTATCTCATTATGGTTTGTATTTGCATTTCCCTAATGCTAATGAGGTTGAACATTTTCTCATATGCCTGTTGGCCATCTGTATGTCCTCTTTGGAGAAATGTCTCTTCATATCCTCTGCCCATTTTTTAATTGGGTTGTTTGTTTTTTTGGTGTAGAGTTGCATGAGCATTTTATATATTTGAGATATTAATCCCTTATGAGATATATCATTGACAAATATCTTCTCCCATTCAGTGGGCTTCCTTTTTGTTTCATTGATGGTTTCTTTTGTTGTGAAAAAACTTTTAAGATTGATGTAGTCCCATATGTTCATTTTTTCTTTTATTTCCCTAGCCCACGGGGATGTATCAGTAAAAATATTGCTCAGGGTAATGTCTGCAAATTTAGACCCTATATTTTCTTCTAGGAGTTTTATGGTCTCAGGTCTTATATTTAAGTCTTTAATCCATTTTGAGTTTGTTCTTGTTAGTGGCGTAAGGAGGTGGTCCAGTTTCATTTTTTTGCATATGTCAGTCCAATTTTCCCAGCACCATTTATTGAATAGGCTATCCTTACCCAAGTGTAACTTCTTGCTTCCCTTGTCATAGACTAACTGCCCCTATATGCCTGGCTTTACTTCTGGACTTTCTATTCTGTTCCATTGATCTATATGCCTAATATAGGTCTATTTTAGATGAGTGGAGTTATGAGGTATGATTGGTAGTTTTTTTACAAAGCCAGTGTTGTTTCTGTTCCTGCCTTTCCAGAGGCACTCTGATTCCTGCGCAGTGGACTGGATGTGCGTCTTCGGGTGTTCTTTCCACTGGGGCTGTTGGAGGGTGGGGGATGGAGATTTCAGAGCTGATGGTAGGCCTTCCTGCGCCTCAGCAGCCAAAGCTGTTCTGCTTCCCAAGCCGCCCAGGAGAGGTGGGGGCGGGGACAAAGTGTTTAGTAGTTCCCATCTGCAGCCTTTTCTCATGTAAATTACTCAACCCCAGGGAGTTGAAGCACCTTTGTTTTGACTTACTCCTCTCTTCAGGAGTCAGTCTCAGGTTCTGGCAGGGAGGGGGCCAAGGTTTCTGAGGGAGGGTGGGAGTGTGCACTTATCTACGCAGTTTATTTTTCCTATCTGAGAGAAAAGTGGAGAAAAGAAATAGAAAAAAAAAGAAAAAAAAATAGGATAAAGAAAAAAAGCCCCCTCCAACACCAGGCACCCCCTGGCTAAGCAGCTCGTGTCTCCACCAATGTGGGGTGTGGGCTGCATCTCCTCGCTTCTCGCTTCCCTCTTCTCTTCCCTGGTTTGAGATGTCTGCCTCAGAAACTGCGCGCCCTGGGGCTCCTGTCGGATTCCGGCGGAGACGGTCAGCACCAGAGGCTGAGCCTGTCCAGATGCTGCAAAACACTCTGGCTTGTCCTGGATTCCCTGAGCTCCGTAGCCGTGGGCGCAGACAGATTCTGCCTCTGTTCACACGCCCGCCTCTCTTCGTTTCGCTTCATGCCCAGCCTGAGGATTCTGCCTTAGCGCCGACGGCAGGTGTAGGGAGCAAGCCGTGAGAACTCTCCAATCTGCTGTCTGAGAGCCGCAGTCTCCGCAGATGCGGGTGTGGACGGATGGTGCCCACGCTCATGCCCTCCTTTCTCCGCTCCGCCCCTCGCGGCCCGAGGATTCTGCCTTAGCGCGGGCTGCAGGTGTAGGGAGCGAGCTGTGGGAACTCTCAGATCTGCTCTCTGAGATCCCGTCTCAGCATCCACAGGTGCAGGCTGTGCCTCCATGCGCCTCGCCTCCATCTTCCCCCACTCACCCGGTCTGCCCACCTTTAAGTACTCGGCCTGGGAGTCCCTTCGCTGCTCAGCGTGCTTTGTAGAGATTTGTTTTCTGTGCTCCAGCTGCTCAAATTGCTGTGGTTTGCAAGGAAGAACTCAGGAAGCCCCCCTCACCACTGCCATTTTTTACCCCCTTCTCTCTACTAGTTTTTTAATGTTACAATGAAATGCCTTGTAGTTTGGGATACATTCTTCATAGAAATTAAATTGTTGGCTAGAAGGGTAAGCCAAAATTTTAAGTGTTTTTTTTATTAGTTTCAGATGTACAAAACAATGTAATAGTTTTACATTTCACCCCTCACAAAGTGATAACCCCCAACTCCCAATCTATTGTCCCTCTGACATAGTATATATCTATTACAATTCCATTGACTCTATTCCCTAAACTGTGCTCTATATCCCATGACTATATATATGTATTAGTTTGTCGCAAAAGTCATGACACATTTTTGCAACGAAAAACATAGGAAAAAATAAGTCATGACTTTTCTGACAACCATATAGATATATATAGATATAGATATAGATAGATAGATATACATAAATAGATAATTATAGTTGAAATACAATATTATTCAGCTTTAGCTTCAGGTGTACAGTGAAGTGGTCAGGCATCTACACCATCCATGAAGTGGTCTCCCTAATAAGACATCTGCCCATCTGACACCCTACAAAATCTTTACAACATTTAAGTGTTTTTTTGGAAAACACTGCCACATTGCCTTCCCCAAAGTTGATATTTTTGTACTCTCATTAAAAGTACATGAGAGTACCCATTTTCCTGCACACTGATAAACACTGAGTATCTTTTTAATATTCTGATAGCAATGTGAACCTGTATCATGTCAATTATTCTGCATTATACTATAGTTCTTTTATACTTGTATTACTTCTAACTCCTACACTAATAGGCATCTAGGTTTTGACAGCTGCAACAGCTACCATAGGCTCTTATGCATACTAGGCACTCAGGAAATATTTTCTGAATTGAATTGAATCAGAACCATAGTGAATGTCTCCCATGTTCTCGTGATGACCTGTCCACCACTACTGTGCAGTTTCCATATTCAAACTAGACTTAACGACTAAGGGAAATGTAAAGGGAATGGGTCACAGCACTGAGGAGCAGAATCCAATCTCATTGTTGTTTAACTAATACTCCAATTTCTAACCCTGCCACTGGGATAGCTTAAGCTTCTAAATTTTAACAACAGCTACTTAGAAAAGTAGCTATGTATATGATGTAGGTATGTAATCCAAGTTGCTTGGCCTAACTAAAAGAAAACTGGTCATGACATTTTTAGGTACAAAGGAACAGCTGGTCTGGAGACCTTTACAGTGAGTCTGGAATAAGTTCATGTGACTTGTTTTCTTGCAGCAGTACATTTGTTCGGCCTGACTTGGCAGTTGCAACCAGTTGAAGGACAGCTCTATGAAAATGGAGTTAGCAAGGGGAACAGAGGGACCGAATCCATGGATACTACTTACTCTCCAATTGGAGGAAAAGTTTCCGATAAATCAGAGAAAAAAGGTACAGTTATCAAAGTGATGGATTAGTTATTGATTACTTTTCTTCTAATATGGTCATTAGAACCAAATCTAGAATGGGTTAGCTTCACATTAAATTTCATGATCACTTGAAAGAAGTACTCTACCTGGATAGAATAAATATATGTAAATGTCTTGTGAAAGCAAATTTTCCTTTCTCTAGTGCCTTGAGTGTAACCCAATTAAACTTTTCAAATATGTTGGCTATTTTGAAAATAGATAAATATTTACAGGATGGAGATTTCAATACAATGGAAATTGCATTTCACATATAACTACCTTGAAGCAAGATGAGATTTTGATTAAGTCTTTGTGTCTAAGCCCAGCATTTATATATAAAATTTTACAAAGGGTGTATGGAAATATTTTCAGTTAATAATAAAAAAGCCTTTTATGCTTAACATAAGGGTGAATGTTTATGTCAAAGTGTGGGAACATGAATTTTTTTCTAGTCAGGGGACATGAATCCTTGCTACTTGGGGAAACAAAAAAAGCACTTTGAGTGCTGAATTGTGAAATTTAGACAACATAAGCTTGAACTACCTGACTTATTTACAATAAATGCTACAGTGCCAGTGCTCCCAACATCTTATTCACATTGCATGTGATATTAGGAATCAGTATTAATATACAGGCATTGAAAATTACTTGAAGTCTGTATTATAATTTCTCTTGAAATAAGATTCAGTACAGAGGGATTCAAGCCATGTTAGATTCAAAAAACAGAAATTAAAAACAAAATGTATAGCAAGTGTTATCCTAAATATTTTTAGATCATATATAAAGAGATGAATGAATGAATGACCCAAACCACAACCTCAAAAAACCTACAGTTTTATATGATAGTATGGAAGTTTTCTTTCGGTTCACTAGTTGCAATTAAGATATTTTATTTTATAGTTGTTTGGGTTACTACTCATTACTTGTGTTTTTAGTTTCTTTGGGGGGGGGATCTTTTGTGGGTTTTGTTCTGTTTTGTTTTTGTTTGCTTTGCTTGCTTTTATAAAAGTAACTTTTCTTTGGTTTATGCATCAGTAAAAATTAATGCTTAAGGTTCAGGGAAAACATGGTTTGTTTTAATTTTCAATTCAAGATGAAATTTGCTTTATGTTCTTGTTTAGAAATATTGTTTCTAGCCTGGGGTGACCTTTCTACCAAATTTACTTTTGCTGCCGAGAGGGGCTGAGGGTAGTACAAGGGTCACAGAAGGCAGAGGAAAGTTTCTGAATACATTCAGACTTGGACTTTTTCTCCCTTTCCTGCTCTCCCATTATTAGATTATATCTGCAAGTACAAGAGCCACCATTTGATATCATATGCCTAGGGGTTTCTCACCATTCACACTGAAAATCACTAATTATCTGTTTAAGGCAAATGAAACATGCAAGACAGCAGAAGGTCATCACATAGTTGTGAAGCGATTCAGAACAGGCCTCCCCAAGATGTGCTACTTTGGCATGTGGGTCATTTTGAGGTGAAGTCAGTTGAGATTCTGCAGTCTCAAGAGAAAGTTTTACCTCTTCCTAAAATAATGTAATTTGTGGCCTTGCTCACAATAAGCGTTACCTCCAGAAATAACTTTCTGTGACCTCTCTATAGGGCATTGTAAACTTCTAATTACTGAGCATCTGCTCTTCTTATCCTGTGGATTACTTTCCTCCCCTCTGAAGTTTTGGGGCATCTTACCACATTCCTAAGCTCAGAATGTCATACATACCTTGTTTTCCCTTTCTGTCTCTCAACCTATGCTGTATGTGGGGTCCCATATGTACATATATAATTAAATTTGGTTATTTTATCTTGTAAATCTTTATCATGTAAACTTAAATATTAGACCAGCTGAAAGAGCCTAGAAAGGTAAAGGAAAATTTACTCCTCCCTCAATAGTTATCATCAGAGCATATTCATTTCTGCATTTTATTTCAGATCTGTATAATTGTTGTCCACAAAGTAGTTTGATGATGATAACTGAAATTTAGTAAATGTTTACCACATGGCAATAATTGCTCCAGACACTTAACATGTATTATGTTATGAAGGTAACTTTATGATTCTCATTTTTCAAATGAGAAACAGAGGCCCCAAGAGGCTAAGTAACCTTCCCAAGGTCACAGAGCTAGAAACTGGTGGCCTAATTCCAGACCCTAGTCTCCTAACTTTTGCACTACACTGAAATTCACCCACAAAACACATATGAAAACCACAAAAGACACTTTACGCAATGAAAGTGAAGTCTTAGAGGCTATTCCTGATATATTTTAGAGAAAGTCTATATACCTATATTTCAATGTGTTGTGACAGTTTTCATAAATGAAAAATATTTTTAAGTTTCTGCTAAATTATAACAACAAACGTATCAAATCAACTTGAATTTAATACTTTATTAAGAAAAATTATTGACTTAATGTCATATGTACCAAGTTGTTATGTTAAACTGACTTTCTATGGAAGTCTGAAAAAAACTTTAACTATATCTACATATTACCCTTCTGCTGTATTAGGTTTTCACTGCACATTACTTACCAAGTAAAAATATAGCTCCTCTTTTATAATGTCATGTGTATACTAAACCAGACATTGCATAAAAAGTAGGATAGTATAAGGCCACTTTCCAATAGTCAGATGTTTCCTTTTATGATTTTCTAGCATCACACACTCTATAAATACCACTCTGGAAGCTTGTTTTAGTGATGCTGTATGCATTAAAACCTCAAATTGAAAACCAGATAATTATTTTTACATTGTTTTCCTTAGTCTTCTAGAGCATTGGACATTGTAGCACTATGATTAAGAGCCTAGACTATGGATTCATACAGATCTGGCTTTAAATACTGATTCTGGGGATTACATCACAGAAATGGCAGCATGGGGAGTGCTTCTTGAAATGTCCCCTGGAATTTACAACAAGTTGAACAATTATAATTCAACAAAAGACTCCTTGCATGACACACGGGCACACCTGAGAGAACTGCAAATTGAATCATCTAAAGGTGGGCAGATTGGGCAAGTGGAGGAGGGAAGGGAGAAGTGCAGAGATGCGGGTAAGGACTCAGACCAGGACGTGGAGCTCCCTGCAGTCTGGATCTTACTGCAGTCATGAGAGAGGGAAGAATTCAGACGGCTACTACCCCCATTATGTCCCACACTCCCACCTGAGGGATCAGCATATAATGGCTGAACCCATTGCTCATGGCAGAAACCCCAGAGCAAAGACTTAGGGAAAAACAGTGAGAATGGTGGTTTAAGCACTCCTTGCCAAGCAGAGGACAGAAGACATAGATACGGAGCCTGAATGACTCAACCCCACTATACCAGAGCTCAACCCACCCTCACCATCCCAGTGCAAGAATCAGAAAAAACTGTAGCAGTGTCAAATTAAAGAACAAAATAATTACTACTCCGAGAACAGTAGCCCCGCAGCCACGGACTCACAGTGCAACTGATTCGGATGAAAAAGAAGAAAATATAGGGGCAAGACAACTGTGAGCTGGTAGTTGCCATTACTGAGAGCCACCTCAACCAACCTAACCCACCACTGACCCCAACTATCTGAGCAGATCTCTGCAGGGGGAACCAGAGTCTCTGAGACACACAGGCTCTGAATCTGGTTGCAGGAAGAACATTGGGATTTCAGAAGCTCTCCACATCCCCCCACAGGGAGAGTGCCCAGCCCAAAGGCTCAGGTGACATACTCACAGAGAAGCCCACCTTCCAGGAAATACCCCACACCACCCCATTATGTGAGAAGCTGAAACAGTGCAAGAGAAAATATAACGCTACAGTGTGAGAGAGAATGAAAGGATGCAGGAGGAGAGAAAATAAAACATTCCACCAACGCCTACTGGAAGGCAAAAGAAAGACCTCTTTCTATCAACGTGTTGCAGAACCAACTCTTGTTGATCCCCAGGAAGAGAAATAAAAATTCATTAATTGCCATGAATAGCCTAAGTAACAAGGCAGCTCAGAAAGAAAATGAAGTCACCAGAAAATGAACTTAAAGACATGGGAATATGTGACTTAAATGCCAGAGAATTCAAGATTGCAGTTCTGAAGAAACTTAACAAGATGCAAAAAAACACAGACAGGCAGTTTAATGAATTCAGAAACATAATCAAAGAACAAAATAAACATTTTACTAAAGAGATTCAAATTTGAAAAAACAACTAAATAGAAATTCTGGAGATTAAGAGCACAATAAAATAAATGAAGAATGAAATAGCCAGCTTAGGTAATAGAGCTGACCAGATGGAGGAAAAATTAAGGACAAAGAAGAAACCTCAAAGCAACCATGGAAAAGATGATGGTAACCTACAAAGAAAAGTCCACTCGATTTTTATCAGAAACTCTGCAAGCCAGGAGAGACTGGAATCAAATATTCAAACTATTGAAAGAGAGACATTATAAGTCAAGAATACTATATTCAGCAAAGATATCCTTTAGATATAAAGGAGGAATAAAGACTTTTCCAGACATACGGAAGCTGAAGGATTTTTTCTAACACACGACCTGCACTATGAGAAATACTGAAGGAGGCTATTTGGCCTGAAACAAAGAATCAAAAGAATACAAAACTATGAGTAGTATTACGAACAGACAGACAAAAGCAGGAAATGGTAACCTCTACACCAATAAGACACTATACACTTAAACACAATATACAGGATAAAGAAAAAAATACTTTAAAAAGGAGGAAAAAGACAACTTGCTACTGTAGTGCATAAATCAACTCACAGCATATATAGGGATAATTTGTGACAACAAAAACAAAAAAGAGTAAAGGTGTGAACCTACACAAGAGAATGGAGAAAGAAAGCACACTGAAGAAAATGGAATACTCTAAATATGAAACTTTTTTATACATAAACTTAATGGCAACCACTCAAAAAAAATCCAGAACTGAAATGTATAACATAAAAAAAGAAGAAACAGAAGAAATAAATCATAGAAAACCAGCACACTGAAATAACAAACACCAACAATAAG